AAATATAAGAAAGAGAGTCGAGATTTTGGAACATACAAATGAAAGGTCCGAACGTCAATTGATAAAAATGGAAAGTAACAGAGAGGCAGATCTGGATGAATTGGCCTTACTTGAGCAGAAAATTGCTGATTGCTTTATATGTGCCTCATTCCCATTGGAAACCATTTCTGATGTGACTGTGATCATTTGGACTTGCTTTGAAGTGAGACAAATGAAAAAAAATCACTCTTTTTGAACACTAGTTTTTGGATAGTTCTTTTGAAAAAAAGTGATTCATAAGAGTGTTCAACAAGTGTGAATGATGGATCTGATTTGCAAGCAGGGAAGGAGGCAGGTGGAGCCCCCCAGGACCATGAGGCGGCTGGAGGAAGGAAGAGAGAAAGGAAGTCTGGATTCCCCCCCCCCCCCCCCCAGCCATGGGTGGAAGCAGAGAAAGCAGGGTTTTGCAGAGAAGCTGGCATCTCAAGCCAAAGGCAACCAGAGTGAGAGCGCTTTGCAGGAACAGCAGGGGCACCTTCCCACCTCACATCTAGCACCAGCACCAGCACCACTAGCAGTGCCACCGCCAGAAAGTGCCGAGGAGGCTTCGCCATTGCAAAAGGCAGAGAGTGAGATAGGATTGGAGCCACTCGAGGCAGGCAGCTAGGGAGGCAGGCAGGCAAGCTGGCATGCTTCCCACCACACCCCCTCCTTCCTTGGCACTCAGGTGCTGCCTGGGATCTCTCCTGGGGCTCCTACTACACCCAGCAGCTAGGCGGCTCTGTCTCTACTCTGCTCTGCTCTCTGCCTGCCACTCTGGGTTTCTGTCCCACACACCAGGCCCATTTGCTCATTCGCTTGCTCACTTGGTGCACTCGCAAGAGGAGGAGGAAGCCAGCTGGCCGCCGGCCTCAAATCAGTTGGGCGCTTCTGGGTCTTCTTGTGACTTTCTCTTGATTGCACATGGCCTAGCCAGGCCTTTTGGTTGTGACAGAGCTTAATTAGGCCCTGATTCTTTGCCTGGCCCAGGAGGTTGTGCTGGGCCTTCCGTCAGTCCCTGACTGTTATTAAGGAGCCATTTTAAGGACCCAGGGTGCCCCATCCTCCTCCTGCTTCTGCTGCTGCATAAAGCTGGGGCGCAGCTTATTCCATGTCACTAGTGGGAGCAACATGGAATAAGGGCATAATTCAATTCCATAGTGAGAACTATGCATTGGCCTTGATTAAATCCGCGACCTGGTGTCAATACAATTCGCAAACTGGATTAAATGTAAGTGGGAATTAGCCCTGTGTTTCACAGTCTACCAGATGTTACTGACTAAAAAATTTGGGCCATCAATTATTCATCTTCTATCTAAGAATCAGTGAGGTATTGTCAGATGAAGCGGCATGTTCTCAGTAATGTCACTTTTTGTAATTTTGCTATTGCGATCCTATCTATAATGATTTCATTCACATGTTTTCTCAGATTGTTTAGAATTGCTCCTAGAGCACTATCACCACTGGAACTGCAGTTGTTTTCTCTCCTAGGGACCCTGAGTCTCCATTTGTAGGTATCAATATTTCATAATCTTTTGCCTGTCTTTGTATTCGATTCTGCTTTCCTCGGGGATTGTCATATCTATAATCCAAACTTTCTTTTTCTCAACCACAGTTATGTCTAATATATTATGGTCTAACTGTTTATCAGTTTGACTCTTGAAGACCCATAAGAGTGTTCCTTCATCATTTCCAACAATATTTTCAGGTTTATGTTCTTACCAATTCTTTGCAGATGATAAAATAATACTTTTTGCATAGATTCCAATATGCCATTGCAGGCACTTTATCATGACATTCCTTGTATTCAGTCTTTATGATATTGATGCATGAACAAATAAGGTGATCAACAGTTTCATTTTTTTTCTTTGCACAGATGTCATATTCTATCCTTAGACACTTTTGCAATATTTACCTTAATATTATTGGTCTGTTTTTCAGCCACAAGTATAAATCTTTTAGTGTCTTTTTTCAAGGTCCTGTTCTGTAATCATTTCCAGATGTTCCTCTTCTCAACTTTTCTTTATGACCTGTTAATATACTGACCGAGCAGTGATGTATTTTGTCAGGCTTCCAAATGATTTTTCATATTTTTCTTTCCATGGGCATCTATTATCCAATAAATTCTCTCTATGCATATGTATTATTAGTTGCTTTTTAAAAATATATTTGCTCAAAGATATTTTCTCCTCTTCAACACCATGTTTCACTTGGCCACCAATTTTATGTGGTAGATACTGATCAACATCTCTTCAAGGGTATAAAGCATACTTTCCTGTCATAATTTTCTGGGTTTTTTCCCTATCTAATGTATCTATCTGCCTTGAGACCCATTTGGGAGAAAGGCATAATATAAATTCAATAAATAAATTAATAGTTCTGCTTCAGTCTGAAGAACAATTCCATCAGTTTGTTGTTGTGCACCTTTAAGTCATTTCCAACTAATGGTGAACCTATCATGGGACTTTCTTGGCAGGATTTGTTCAGATGGAGGTTTGCCATTGCCTTCCTCTGAAGCTGAGAGAGTGTGATTTGCCCAAGGTCATTTAGTGAGTTTCCATGGCTGAGCAGGGATTTGGACCCTGGTCTCCAGAGTCCTAGTCTAATGCTAAAACCACTACATCATGCTGGCTATCTAGTTCCAGCCCTAGTGATATTAATATTAAATAATAATATATAATATTGGTCATGATACCATCATCATCATCATCATCATCATCATCATGCTTTATTTGATGTTTAAATTTGATGGCTGCTTTGGCTCTAGACTCCACATTGGATGTCAAATACAGCAAAAATATAGCCCTTTCCTCCAAGAAAATGCACCAGTAGTGCATTGGTTATATACCTGCACATTAGCCAGTATACTGTGGCCCTTCAGATGTTCTTGTACTACAATTGTCCTCAGTCCTAAGCAGCAATGGATGATGGGGGCTGTAGTCCAGCAACATCTGAGGGGCCAGAGGCTCGCCATCAGTGTCAGATGTCTAAAACATGAGCCTATAGTGATATCCAACACGGACTGGAGATTTCTGTGTTATGGATTCCATTGTTTTCTTGCCACCTCAGTAATTATTCCCAGAATGCCCCTTGTAGGAACACCAGAACAGTTCTGCTGGATCTGACTCAGGATTCATCTAGCAGGATCCAGTTCCCAACAGTGGTACAATAGTGGTTTCAGAAAGTCCACAGGCAAAGTAGATAGACAATATTCCATCCCTCTCAGATATAAGGAAGTCAAAATGGCTTCACAAATTAGATAAGGGGAGGGAGAGGAAAAGAGAACATGATGATCTTTCCTCACAATGTCTATTAATGCCTAAACCAAGAGGAAGAGCCTCTCTCATTTTTATAATATGATTCTTGAGCATCTTGGGGGTGGGGTGATGAGGTATACTGCATGCAACTATTGACATTACATAAGAAGCATTTTTCTTTATCTTCCTTTGTCTCTGTCTTATGAATAAACTGTACAAGACAGCACATGATGTGCATGGAGCAAATTTAACAAAGATCAAATAGCACACTTTCTGTACTGGCATCTCATATGGATTTTTAAAAATACTGCTCCCTTCCTCCACTAACACCTTGCATTATGATGTGTTAATTTTGGGGATGCAACATCCTGGGGAAAAGTGTGCTGTTGGTCAAAATGAAGAGAAGAGGTAGGGAACCTGTGATCCTCCAAATCTTCTTGAACATTATTTTTCAGCATTGGCAGCATTGGCTAGAGGGAGAATCTAAAGACATCTGGAGTGTCATTGATTCCCCAGCCCTGGCAACGAGGATGCCACACAGGGAAAAGAACTGAAGAACACAATTGGTGTGTGGATGAAGGAAAACAGGGCTAGGGAATTTGGAGAATCCAAGTTAAGAGCAAATAAAAATAAGCAGTAACATTGTTTAAACCTAAAAAGTCTAACACTAAATTTCTGGTACTAGGCAAGGGGAACAACAGACTAGAAACAGGTTTTGTTTATTTTATGAATTAGGCAAAGGATATTGCCTATCTCACAAATGAGATGACATTTCCTCCTTATTTAACAAGCCAAACTATATCATTCATTCAGCATCAACAGACCGTCCTAGATATGGGTTGCCTATGCCTTGCATCAAAACTGGCTACTGAAGTTAGGCTTTCACAAACATTTATGAGGGGGGAGGTGGGGGGGAGAAAATAGACTCAGCTTTGGTGGAAAAGCATGATAACCAGCAAAAGAAAACCCAGTAGAGTGAGGGTATATAGGAATCTGTAGATTTGCTTGCCCTATTTGAAGGCTCCAGCTTGCTCAGAATAAAATATTTATTGCAACCTGCTGCTGCTTGAAGGCTACCTTAGCTGTCAAAACTCATGCATAAAAATCTCTCACCTCCCCATGAGTGCCATTCATCATACAGCCAGTACATATAACTCACTTAATTGATTATATTGTGATTATATTTTCTCTTTTAAATGACTGTTAAAATCAGGTTTTTAAAAAGCCATTTGTTTCTCCTGTAAATAATCTTTCATCCTAATGTCTTCTTATTTTACTGCAGCCAGTGGAATCAAAATCTGAGGGAGGACATATCTGCGGAATTCACCATTTCTTAAACCAGTTGTTAAACATTGTAAGACAGGTGCTTAGTGTATGGAGCCTCCTGTGTGGCAAAATAACCACAATTTTAAATCAGTCAATAGAACATTCTGACACCATTAGGACAGGACTTTGGAATACAAGTAGGGTTGGAATGCCTCCACAAATTTGGTCAGGTTTAATCTTGCCCCAGTTAATTCTAATCACACTCCAAATCTAAATCAAAAGCTAAATTCAGCATGAGCAGAGAATCCTTCAGATAAGAGAGACCTCTATGCCCAGAAAGAGCAAAGATATCACCAGTCACAAAGAGGAAAGGGCTAGCTTACTCCATTTTTAAGGAAGCAAAAAATATACATGACCATCTATTGAGGTAAAACCATTAAGTAGAGTGCAATAATAATCTGGCTGCACTCATAACAGAACCAGATCTTGGAAAAGTGACTTTGTTGGACAATAGATCAATGAATCTCCCAGTCAACATGGCAAACTCCCATTGATTCTAAGAGCTGTCATCTAAAAATGTCACTGGACTGAAAACACTAGGTAATATCCATCCAAACTCAATCAGGATTTCTTGCAACACTAAGGTCTGGCCACCATTTGCTGTGTTTTGCACAAAGATGTTGAATGCTGTCCTAGTTAGACAATGAGAAATCTTTTTTAAATGCTTATGTCTAGGATGTCCTTTGCATGTGGAACTGGGTAGTCTGCCAGACAGCAACTGGCTGGAGACTCAGTTGTCTTTCCATTGGCTCTTGTACACCAGTTCATAGAACAGTGACACTGCCAGAATTTTTTCTGCTTGTGCATCCCTGGGTCTAAGCCAAACAGTTTTGGTCATGCTGACTGGGAATGAGCAGAGCTGTAATCTAATACATATAGGAAGGCACCAGGATAGGAAAGGCTGTAACAGGACAAGGAAACTTTCCACTTCCAATTTTAAACAACTTCAAGGCTGTAACAGGACAAGGAAACTTTCCACTTCCAATTTTAAACAACTTTTAAACAACTTCAAAAGATTTGATTGAAATGTTGTGAGCACACTGCATAAAAAAGTATTTGTGCCAAGAGGGAAGAAGTGTTGAGCACATGGTTACTATAGTGCATACACCAAAGGGAATAATCTGCATGCCTTAGTCTAATTGTATCCCAACCTGGTGCCACCAGGTTGGTATACCCCAACCTTCAGGTATGCATGCCTGAGCCCCTATTGCATGGCAATCTACACTGAAGACAGTTGGCCAAGCCAGAGTGCACTGCCCCTGTAAATCTGCAAGCCTGCAAACATCACTCTCTTTTCCATTTTCCATCCAAGCTTCATCCAGTAACCATCCATCTATTTCATGCTCTGCTTTGTACCTCCTCCTCATCACACCTATCTCACTTCAAGAGATCACTGAATACTGTACAGCCAAAATCATTCCCATACAAATAATAATAACGATAGAGATGTCAATAAATACGACATAGCAGATCAAACAAACAGAAAATGAAAAAGAGAGAGCTATAAGCTTTTACTACAATGGGATATGGAAGATGAAATAGTGAAAAACAATATGATTCAGTGGGCAAAAAAATTTGGTTTTCCAATAAAATTAGAACAATGGGAATTTACCTGGACCAAAATTTTGAAACATACTGCTGCACAAAATTTAAAAGAGAATTACTATAAGGGTTTTTTTAGATGGTACTTATCACCAGATAAAACTGCGAAAATGTATAATTCAAGTAGTAATCTTTGTTGGAAGTGTGGTAAAGAACCAGGTACACTATATCACTGTATGTGGACGTGTAAAATAGTAAAGAGTTATTGGTTAAAGGTCAATGATATAATTAATATAATTGTTAAAAAAGATATAAAAAGTCACCCTGAACTATATTTGTTAAATATTTGGGATAAAAAATTGGATAAAGAAGTAGGTAAAATCTTATTTTATTTAGTTTTGACGGCAAGAATCACTTTATTTCAACATTGGAAAAGGAAGACAATACCTAGCATGAATGAATGGATCACCAAATTCTATGATGCTATAGAAATGGATATATTGATGGAATATCTTAGAGGAAGAAATATAAAAAGCAATTTAAGTGAATGGGCTCCAGTTTTGGATTATTTAGAAAAACAGTGGGGTAAATCAGCAACTCTTATATATTAAATAGGATAATACCAATTAGATAATAATTAATTGACTACTAAAAATAATTAATAATTAATATTAGATATATTTAATTTTTTTATTACTTTAAGACTAAAGAAGGCAGCTAGATAAGACAGCACCGAGTTATATGTGAGAATTTATTAAGAAAATAATATGGAAACAGGAGATTGTTGAATTAATATTAATACAACAAATATTATATAAAAGTTTGAACTTTTATTATAAAAAAACTATTTTCACTCAGAACATGAGCATCAATTTATAAGAAACTTTATATAATATTCTTTTTTTAAATAAAAAATTATAAGAGAGAATATAAAAAGGAATGGAAGCAACACTTTTTTTGAGGAAAAAGGAGGTCAAGTGAGTACAATTGACAACCCAACATAGATGGAAGGGGAGGAAGTAATATTGTAGAGAGAGAGTTATGAGAGAGGAATGTGTGGGAGAAGATATTGGAATGGAATAAGAAGGAAATTGAAAGTGTTGAGGGTATGAGTAAGTGGATTAAGAAGGATGAAGATGTGAAGGTAGAAGAGTTTGAGTAATAGAGAGTATCAGAGAGGGATGAAAGGGAAGGAATGCTGTAAGAGAGGATATGAAGAGACTGGAAGAGAGGGAGAAGAAAGAAGGTTTAGGGAGGTTTGCAATGTTTTTAATGTTGGTAAGTGTGTAATGCTTGCCATGTTTTCAATGTTTGTAAATATGTGTTATATGTTTCATATCTTGTAAATTATGTTTTTTATTGTGGTATTGATTTTTCCATAAACAAACAAACAAACAAATAAATAAAGTTTGGATGAAAACCCAAAAAAAATTTTGAAAAAAAGAAAAAAAAGAGAGAGCTGAAAAAACGTGTCCTCTGGCATGAGAAATTCTTTCCTGGGTCATAA